TATAGAGAGAGAGAGAGAGAGAGAGAGAGAGAGAGAGAGAGAGAGGAGCTAATATCAGAATTTAAGAAAAAATGTTTTGAAATTGGTTGTAGTAGCAATTGTAATAGATCGATTATGTTTGATCTATTTGAATTATTGAATGTTATGACATCTGTAAGAGCTCCCAATAAAATAATGAATTAAAACGAGAGAGAGGATAGAGATAGAAGGGGAGAAAAAAAGATTATATCTAAGAGTACCCCAAGAAGTAGCCCTACCCTGTAACACATGGTATCACCATCAGTAGGAATTGACTGGAAAGCAATAGATTTGGTTTTGGGCTTAGTATGTAAAGTCAGTTTTTATTAGTTACATGTTGAGGAAACAGAGGTTAGGTAACTTGCCTTTGGACAGAATAGAGTCCACAGTGGTTCAGATCTCTGTGAACTCTGCCAAACCCCTGCATAATAGCTTAGAGCTTGGGAGTTGGCTTCCAGTCAGCCTTTCCCACCATTACCCAGGTCTGTGGGTCTGGTCTGACTTCAAAGGGGAACTAGCCTCAACGACAGGAGCTGAATTCCCCGGTGTCAATCCTAGGAACTGAAGTAGACTTGGGAAAATTGTGCATTGGTTTTGTCCCCTTTTCCTTTTGTACTTAGTGTAGCCTCGCTATGATTAATAACTTTAGAAGTAGTGGAAGTCCATGATACACTGAATTCTAAGTGACAGGATTTGAATTGTGTCTTTACACAATTCAAAAGCCTGACATTTCAGATGAATCTTTATTCACAGCTATATTTATCCCTTGAAACAATAAAAGGATTGGCAGATGATGGCAAACATAGACTGTCTACTTGATAGCTTGCATTTAGCTACTTCTGTAATCACATTGGCTCTCATCAAATTTGAATGCTATACAACAAGGAGGCTTCAAAAAGTTCATGGGAAGATGGAATTGAAATATAATGGAATTTTTCTGCAAATGTTGAAACTCCCTCATACAATTACTTCATTTTATCACTTATGGTTTTTTAGACTTTATTTCTTCTAGCTCATCTTTAAGGCAACCTATTTATATTAAACTTCAGTTTGCATGGCATTGCCTTTAAACCAGATTATAAACTCATAATATTGTACTATGCCCTTTTACAGTACAGGTGTAAAGGGACATAAAATTAAAATAATCAGAATTTTTATCCTTCTGCTTTACCATATGGGAGTGTGTGGATGATAAGATGCAGTAGTCATCCCAAAGATGTGTTTTCTTAAATTGTTATTTCAAAATTTACTTTAAAATCCTAATATCTGAAAGTAGCACAATAATATATATATATTTGCTTTTCAGATCATATCAGAATAATTTCGACATTCTTTAATTACTGGATTACGCATATTCTTCCTGAGAGAAACAGAGAATAAAATCTGTGTCTCTATTTAAGAAGAGTTAAAGTGAAACAAGAAAATACAAAGGAAATTATGACCTGGACAGAGAATTAATTCCAAATATACAACTGATGGCATCTTCTGCTTCTCCTTCAAGAACTGTGATAGCATGGTACCCTTGAACATGTGTCCCATATTACTGTTTCATGTGTTTGTACATATTGGGTCAGGGGTAATTTGATATGTAAATGAAAAAGTGGGTAAAGTTGAACATTTTTACTTATTTACAATTGTCTGTCTTGAATTACTACATGGATATTTTGTTGATTTCATGCCCATAAAAATAGAAAATGAACAGTCTCTTAATTTGAATAAGATATAGTTGGAGACCGATATTTTTGTAAAGTGTTTGAATCACCTTGTACTTGAAAGTCTGTATTTTAGAATGATTTCTAGAAATTAAAATATTCTGGTTTAAGTACTTTGATTGTAGTTGAATTTCTTTTTATCTTTTCTTACTTTGAGAATAATACTGGTTTTTCCTACTTGACCTTTGTTTTTGTCATGAAAACAGCCACCAGCCCCAACCCGTACTGTGTGTTAAAAACAATTCACAGCACTGGTCCCACCCTTCAGTGCACCATTGGCTCTCTCCATGCAAAGTCTGAAGTCCACATCCTCTTCAGCTCCTTACACAAAGGTACATGCACAGCGGTGTTCCTTGCAGCCTTCTCAGTGTGTGTGTGTGTGTGTGTGTGTGTGTGTGTGTGTGTGTGTGTGTCGGGGAGAAACACCTAAATGTTTAACATAGGAGGTTCACCCAATTATGGATTAGTCAAAAAATACAATGAGGTGCTGCTTTGGGGGAAAAATGAGCTATGGCTATGGTAAGATGCTATGGCAAATTATAAAGTGAAAAAGTCACAATAGTAGTAGTCTAGTTTTCACAAAAGTGAAAAATAGTGTTAATGCACACATATTTGTACACCTTTTCCTTTAAAGACGATCGCAGCACAGCAGCTACAGTGATCATATAAATGTAGCCTGGGACATCTTGGAATATGGCAACTGAGTAACACATACCAGAGGGACTCTACAGAAATCAGCCCAAGAGAGTTACTAAGAGGGAAATTCAATACTGCTGGATCATAGGAGTAGTATCATAAAGTAGGCACAGATCCACAAGGTTTTGAGGGGCAGGGGGCTTTTGGCTTACCACAGTGGAGGCTGGCCAGGAGCATTTGGAGCCAGCACAGGGGCTTAATCTGAACAAAGCCATAGTTTTCTGCTGCCTCGGGACAAGGATTAAACCCTTGCAGCCCCACAGGCAGGGATTGGGGCTCAGCTATATTGTTACTTTGTTTCCTTCTCTCTATACCCCCAGAGTTTCAATGGGGTTAGGTTTTTTTTGTCCTCTTTGTTTCATCCCTGTTCTCTCACACACCACTGCTGACCTCCAGGCCACCCCCTTAGCCTTGGGTACCTAAGAGCTATGTCTGATGCTATGAAGAGGAACAACATCAGAATAATTGGATTACCGGTGGAAGACAACAAAGAAGTCATCTGCAACAATTGTGAGAGAATTCTAGGACGAAAACTTCCCCAGATTAATGAATGAAAACCAGGCAACCATTAAGGAGACTGAAAGAACACCAGCTTGATTGAATCCCAAGAAGAAGTCACCAAAGCACATAATAGTTAAACTATCCAACTTTGAGGGAAAGGAGAAAATGATGAGAGCAGCTACGGAAAAACAAGCCATCACATATAAATGTTCCCAAATAAGAATATGCTCAGATCTATCAACCAAAATTATGATGGAGTGGAGTAATATATTCCAAAAATTTAAGGGATACAACGCAAACCCAAGAATACTCTACCCAGCCAAATTATTGATCTAGATAGATGGAGAAGTAAGAGTCTTTTCAGACAAGGAAAAACTCAAAGAATGCGTTAAAGAAACCCAGCCCTACAAAAGATCCTTGCCAACCCAGTATAGGCAGAAGAATAACATGCACCAAGCATAAATAAGAGACCACCATATAGAACAACCTCAACCAGAGGGAAACAAAGAGAAAACAGACCCCAATATAGCACTGGCTTAGGGATGGAAAGAAGTCAAGAATGATACACACACACAACACACTAATAAGAAAGGAAGGCAGGAAAACACCCAACGCAAAAGGTATAAGATGACATCACAGAGTCTGCAGGTGGAGATAATAACCCTAAATATTAATGGCCTGAAAGTCATTAAAAGACTGAGACTAGCAGACTGGCATATAAGATACAACCATCAATATGCTGCCTACAGGAGACATATCTGAAGGCTACAGACCAAAATAGGCTGAGAATCAAAGGCTGGAGAAAGCCATACCAAGCAAACAGCAATTTACAAAAAGCAAGGGTTGCCATCTTAACTTTGGATAAAATTGACCTCCAAGTGCAAGCCATAAAAAGAAATGAGGGATGTATATAATGCTCAAGGGAATGGTAGACAAAGAACCAGTACACATTGTAAACATATATTCCCAAAATGAGAGACCCACTGAATACGTCTACCAAACACTCCAAAAGATGAAAAAAGAAATCACAGCTTCAACAATTATAGTGAATGACTTCAATACACCACTCTCTGAGAAAGATAGATCACAGGGAAAGAAACCAAACAAGGAGGCTAGAGATCTAATCACTATAATTAGATGATTTGACCTGACAGATATTACAGAGCTTTTCATCCAGATACAAAAAATTCAAATTCTTCTCAATCCAACATGGCACATATTCAAGGATAGACCACATACTGGGGCATAAGGCGAATCTACATAAATTTAAGCACATTGATATCAAACAGACCTCTCTCTCTGACCACTGTGCCATAAGACTGGAAATCAACTAAAGGAAAACAAAGAAAACAAGAGCAAACAAGTGGAGGATGAATAACTGTCTATTGCAAAAGGAGCACATATTGGCACAGATAAGAGATGAAATTAGGAAATTTCTAGAAAACAACAAGAATGAGAACACGATGTACCAAAATTTATGGAACAAAGCAAAGGTAGTTATCAGAGGAAGTTTCATAGCAATACATGCACACATGAAAAAGGAAGAGAGACTCATCTTTGACATGCTGGCACAAAATTTACAACAACTAAAGCAGAATCAGCAGAACAATTCTACTAATAGCAAATGAACAGAAATAATAAAACTCAGAAATGAGATTCAGGAGAGGGAAAATAAGAAAATTATGGAAAAATATTAATGCAGCTAAAAGTTGGTTCTTTGAAAGGATAAACAGAATCAACAGACTGCTGCCAAACTTAACCAAAGAAAGGAGGTAACAAATTTCAACAGCAAGAATGAGGGTTGAAAGAGGGGACATTACAACAGACCCTAATGAAATCAAAAGGATAATTACACAGTACCATGAAGGATTGTACTCCACTGAATTCAACAACTTGGAAGACATGGAAAAATTCTTGGAAAAACAATCCCTCACTGGACTATCCCAAAAGTAAGTCAAGAATCTCAACAGACCCATAGCAATAGAAACAAAAAACAATGCACAGCTATCAAGGGATTTCCAACAAAAAAAAATCTCCTGGACTAGATGGCTTCACTGGAGACTTCTACCAAGCATTTAGGGAAGAATTAAGACCAATCCTACACAAAATCTTCCTGAACATGGAAGAAGATGGCAAACTCCTAAAATCCTTCTATGAAACTAGTATAACTGATACCAAAACCAGGCAAGGATCCCACAAGAATCGAAAATTACAGACCAATATCCCTAATGAACATTGATGCAAAAATCCTTAACAAAATACTGGCCAATAGAATACAAAAGTATATAAAACAAATAATTCACTGTGACCATGTAGGATTCATACTAGGGATGTAGGGATGGTTCAACATATGAAAGACCATTCGTATCATTCGCCACATAGACATGAAAAACTATAAGAACCACATGATAATATTGATAGATGCAGAAAACATCCAACACCAATTCCTGTTTAAGACATTTGAGAAGATAGGAATGGAAGGAAAATTCCTAAGACAATACAAGCTATATATGAAAAACCAACAGTCAATGTGGTAGTCAATGGAGAAAAGACAAACACAATCTCACTGAAAAAGGGGATTAGACAAGGATGCCCCTTGTCCCCACTCTTATTTAACATCATACTGGAGGTTTTAGCAAACAGCATAAGGCAAAGAAAAGACATCAAAGGTATTTGTCTGGGGAAGGAAGAGGTGAAACTCTCATTATTTGCAGATTATATGATTTTATATATGGAAAATCCCAAAAG